AATAGGGGGCGCCTTCGGGAATAACATATTTGAAATGGCAATATACTTATTTAATATTGCAAACAGCCGCAAATTCAAATGTAGAACTTACACGAATATGAAAACCGCGCAGTGACGCTAACCGCTAAGCCACTGCGGATGTCAAATATGATTTTAAGTCTGAAAATTTAGTGTTACAAAAGAATTCGGCACAACAATGTAGATTCACAAGAGTCCTTGAGATATTTATTAAATCATTTCCTCACCAAGACTACACAAATTACAAGAAATTACACCCTTCAATTATACAGGTGTAGATAAAAAATAATACAAACTATCATCGTGATTTTCTAAGAAAACAAACGTAATATCCAAAGTAATTTTAAAAACCGATTCGATACCAAAGCGGATTATTACACACATTTGTTTTTTCAAACAAATCACCGCTTCGGCCTTTTTACACGTCCCGTGGTAGACGGACACATGATTGACAGAGACATCTGTAACCGTGGTTACCTATACATCTATAAACAAATATACGCGATTTAAATCCGAAATAGTATTTTATGCCAACGCCGAGTGGCCTAAGTAATAGGTACGAGATTTTAAAACCTAATTAGATAATTTTGCATACACAATACTTTTCTACGAGTAAATAAAATAATGAAACACAACCAATATTTAATGTATATTTTGTTAACAATCCGTAACAACAAACGCAATTTCTTTTATAAATTTTAACCGATTTATTAGGGCAGACAAAGATTTCACCATACAACCTCTTCATATATTTAGACGAAAGCCAAACAAATGCTACAAAACAAAAAATCAAAGAGAAAGAATAGAGCTGGCCAAGTATCGCACCTATTTTATTAACCTTATTTTAACCAATAATTTTTTTTATAAACATTTATGGCCCAGTTGCTAACTTTTAGGCGAATTGAACCAATCTTGACGCAGTAGTACTAACTAACTAACTGCCTCCGTGGCCGAACGGTTACCGTACCGGACTGCCACGCAGAGGTCCCCGGGTTCGATTCCCGGGCCGGGAGAAATATTTTTCAAATTCAAATTCAAATTATTTCTTTTCTCAGATAACAGGATCCATTGGTGTTAGTAAAAAAATTTATTTGTATGGCCTACATTTATTTCTCTCGTGAGTTTGGGTGTAATTTGTGGTTGTCTATGTGTGTGTCCAGGGCACCCGCGACACAGGGTTTCCCTAGTGCGGGGCTATGTTGAGTGTGTGCGTTATTATTATTGTAAAAAAAAAAGTAGTGACCTAAATGATATTTTGATTAGCCAAAAAACCAACGACGTTCTTTTTTTGAAACTCTTTAACGTTTCTATGTACAGAACTTTAATGAAATTTTTCAGCTCAGTGGCGAGTACCATAGACAATAATTTGATTCAGAAATAAAAAGAGCGCCTTTATGGTATAGTAGGAATTATAATTGACAGATTAAAGTAACCACAGGAGTAGAAAAGAATTTCATATTCAATGTGTAGCAATCGTGAAAACCTAGGTACTTAAAAGTCTTATAATAAGATCTTAAATTGACTATCTTTATTTATAAATATTTCTTGAGTGCACATGAACTCATTGTATACGCGTCATTGGAACTTGTCAAAATTACCTACGGCTACGACTAAAGACCTAATCATTCCAGTGCAAGGGTCTTGGTTACTTGGAATGCCAAGATGCCGCTGATTTGTCTGATTAGTCTATTAATGCAGGAGAGCTTGATATGCATCTCGAGGTCGAAGAACCGGTAGCGCACCTCTAGTGTAAGAAAGGCATAATTTATTTTTGCTACTTTTCCAGACGGCCAGAAATAGGTACTAATCGACCGTAATGCTTTAATTAAATGTCGTAATTCTATATAACCTAGTACGAAGCGCAACCGAAAATATCCTCTACATGCCTAAATTATAACACTTCAATTACACTTATCTCAAAAATACAGCAAATCACAAAAAACTATACTACGCCCGCACGTAAAAATCGAACATTTCAGGTTCAGGTTAACAATTCTATTTATTGTTCAAGATTTTAGGATTTTAGAGCGTTATAATGTTGGTTACGACTTTTTGCATCATATTTTTAAAGATACGCTTTTCTTCCACGAACATTTCACTAAACATTTACGGAGCAATTTCACTAACACATTTCTTGTTGTAAAAATAATTCGATGTAGGCACGACATAAATCACGTATTACGGTTTTACTCAGTAATATATTTGAAGATAACATTACAGTTACCAGTTATGCTTCTTTTTTCATTTTAATTGAATTTATTGTTATTTTGTTTGAAATTAATGCATTTTCGGTTAATAACGGTTTCTTGGCATAAAATTTGAAAAAAGACCATTGTTGTAGTTTACGAGTAAGTGTTCTAATTTGGATTTTAGCCATAAATAACATACATAAGTCAATCAATAAAATTGTTAAAAGGTCGTGTGTATCTTGCCAATAGTAAAAAAAATACGTAATTCGACTTATGCCATTCTTCCACGAAGGATACGATATGTGTACTTAATTGCGAATTTATGTTCTTAATAGCGCATATGTGTTACCATTATCAGACACGGGAAATGCCTAGTAGAGCTGCTTGCGAAAATGTTCGTCCAGGAAAGTACGCCACCTTACATATTTCTACCGTCAAGCAGGAATGTCAGCATTAATACGTACCTACCGGTTTTTAACGGTAAGAGTGCTGGTGAAATTACAGGCACATGTGGCTTTTCAATTTATGTCTCATGGTGACGGGCGCACTGGCAGTTTCCCTCAGATCTTTGCAATTGGTAACTCTGAGTGACACGACAACTGCTTTGGACAGACATGTCGCTTAACACCAGGTGCATAACTTGTTCGTCATGTCACTATAGGCAAAGGTTTATGCGCCCTTGAGTCCAGAACATACCAGTGCCGTTTTAGAGCAAAAATATATAGCACTACCAAGACAGGATCTGCACGTACAACCCTACCAACAATTTTACCAATTACCTGTATGTAAAGATCGAGAAATTTACCATAACGTGTACCTGTAACTTACTATACCACGTTAAGCTCGGTAAGTTATTAATAGGAGCAATCACACGGAGACTTAACACTTTAAGTACGGTCGGCTCTGGCCCTGTGCAACGTAAATTATGCTCCTTACAGTACCGAAGACAAATGGCACTAATTTTATGTGGAAATACTTTGTTTATGAGAATGATTGTCTATAAATCATACGATGAGAAAATTGTATCTAATCTGAAGGAGAAATTTCAAGATTAATGAAAATAATTTCCTTCTTCAGTGATTTATGTTCGCACGACCGAAAATAAGAAATGTATAATATTTAATAGCACAGTTGAAGAACGGTCGCAATTCAAAGGTCAACAGTTCGAATCCTTATACAACATATCAACAAAATTTATAAATGATTAATTAATAACAAAACCTCGAGTTAACGATGAATGAAATAGTATTTTATGCAACTGTTGCCTAATGAGGGTACTGAACGTCGAGCACCGTGCTACACGTACGTACTCGTACAGGTACGAGTACATACCAAAATGTATATTTTGTTCAATCCATCATGGACTGAAAAAATATACAACCCAATTCTCACGAAGTACAGAAGAAAAACAATATGATGAAACCTCAACGTCGAAGTAATTTCGCTACCCTTGGAAAATATGAGTCCCCAACCCGCATTAAATACATAATAATGTGCCCGACAGCGTTGCCAATTATTTAGATAGATAGATATATAGATAGATAAAGCATTTATTCAGCATATTAAATCACATAATTACATACAACAAGAAAAGAAGGTTACAACAAATAATGCACTAAAAAGGTTTCAGCTCAGAGCAATGCAACAGCAGACGAACGTTCGGTGGTACACACAGACATATGTCTGTGTTGGCACTTCAAGTGCAACAGTTGCACTAGTACAAATCCACTACTATTAGTGCTAGTACAGACAGAATAAGAACACTCTCAAGGTCGAACTGTTACATTCGATGCGCTACCATCCACACAACAACTTTCTTAAATCATTGTAGTTTAAAAAATTATGTAAACAATGGCTCCTATCTGTACAGAAATCGAGTAACAACTCTGGTCCCCAATTAAAGCTATGGGAACTAATAGGATCTAGCATTGTTAACGCGAATACAATATAGAAGTAAGTAATACTAAGAAAACAGAAAGTACAGCTTGTTATAGAAGATTAATAGGAGAGAATTATTTTTTACGCGTGACGATAAAGTCGTGCTTTGAACAAGGAGTAAGTTTACGTTCTAACAAAAACTCCTACCAGCACAAAATTTTAAATTTTGGGTTAAGCAAGTAAATAAAAAAATAACTTTACACGGACAGCCTTTAAACTTTAACGTATCCCTAATTATTATTTAAAGTAGATTATTACTCGGTGTACCTACACTCCGAATGTTAACTTGGTGCAGCTAGCGAACAACTAGCTACAGGTGAAGACTGAAAATTCAAAAAACAGTCTTTAACCTTTTTGTCCACGTCACTCATTGTATTTTCTATTAGTTTTTAAGTATTGTGTTCCCTGTGCTTTGTGGAGAAATAAATGTGTTTTTATTTCAATTTTTTATTTAAATAAAAACTATAAAGTTATACATATTTGGACTCAAATTAGTGAATTCCCTATACTGTGACTACCAGAGCAACGGAATTCACTCCAGACGTGTGTTAATGTAGAAAACTACATTTTCCAAGTTGGTCCTACTGAAAATCGAACCCAGTTACACTGTAAGCAAGTAATGTTACGTTGTATATGCTCCTATTCTTCTCACTACGCGCTACAGCCTTAAAAAAATCTTGGTTCGGAAAGCGTCTTTCGCGGTCGCCCTCTTTGAATATTGCCTTCCACGTTGGCTCTACATACTCATACCTTCCTGATGGTCTCATGCGTACAATTGTAGTGCCCATAATTAAAAACAAAACGGGTGATGTAACTGACAGGGCCAATCATCGACCCATCTCACTGGCCACGATTATGGCAAAGGTGCTTGACAGTCTGCTGGACGATCGTCTCGAAAGTTACTTGCACTTGCACGACGCACAGTTCAGGTTTCGCCCCAAATTTTCAACTGAGAGTGCGGTTCTGGCTCTAAAACATACGGTTCGGTACTACATTGAAAGACGAACGCCAGTGTACGCTTGTTTTCTCGACCTCTCCCGTGCTTTCGACCTGGTGTCGTATGATGTGTTGTGGGACAAGCTTCGAGATAGAGATGTGCCAGCGGAGTTGTTGCGTATATTTCAATACTGGTATCATAATCAAGTGAACTACGTGAGGTGGGCTAATAAGCTCTCAGACTCGTTCCAATTAGACTGTGAAGTGAGGCAGGGGGGTCTGACCTCGCCAAAGCTTTTTAACTTATACGTTAACGACTTGACCGTTGAGCTCAGCAGCATGAGGGTCGTCTGTCGCGTGGATGACGTCAGCGTCAATAAATCAGTTACGCTGACGACACGGTGCTGCTGAGTCCAACGGTTAGAGTGCTTAGGTGTCTACTACAGGTTTGTGAACGTTATGCACTTGCACATGGTCTCCTGTATAACGTTAAAAAAAGCGAGTTTCTGGTGTTTAGGGCCGTCGGTGGTAAGTGTCCATCTCATGTACCCAAAATTATACTCAACGGTGCAAAACTTAGGCGGGTTAACTAATTTAAATATCTCGGGCATTTTGTAACTGATGACCTTAAAGACGAGTTAGACATTGAGAGGGAACGCAGGGCGCTAACGGTCCGCTGTAATAGTTATGTGTTTAGAGCCCACTGTCAGGTGTTCTACACGTGCGCCCTGTGGATCAACCACACGCAGCGGACCCTCGGGACGCTGCGGATTCAGTACAACAATGCCTTTAGGGTGTTGCTGGGGTTGCCCCGATTCTGCAGCGCGTCAGGCATATTTGCGCAGGCTAATATAGATGATTTTAATGTCATAATGCGAAAGAAAACGGCCTCGCTGCTCTGCAGACCACGGGGTAGTTCCAATTCCATCCTAAGGGTAATAGCAGAGCGACATGATTCCTCGACCGTAGCACATTGTGTAGACAGACGCATCTCGCCGCCAAAAATAGTGACTAAGTAGTAGTAATTGTAATAGTAGTTGTAATGGAATGGATTTCTTTATGACATGTGATTTCTAAAATTTTAGTTATGTTCATGTTAATTGTTATTATTTTATTAGCTAATTTGAATTTTAATTGTTATTTTAGTATTTTAAATTTTTACTTTCGACTAAATTGTCATTATTATGTCAGTTTTATATTATGTATTTTAAATTGACATCTCGATTTTTAAAATTTTAGTCATTGACTTACAAATAAATGGACGACGGGAGTTACCATGGCGTAAAGCCTGGTAAATGCTGAATCTCACCTACGGCGAATTAGCTTACTATTTAGATTTATGTAACGTAATGCTTTTCTACTTTTCATTGTATTTTTTCTGTACTTTAGTCTTGTAAGGTTTTTGATCCGAATTAAACGTCTTTTTGTAATAATAAATTCTTTTTTAAAACGTCCTTTTCCGCCGTCATTACATAAGTGGCGCAGTCGGTAGGATCGCGGCACTCTGGACTTTTCTAAACAAAAGTATTCGCGTGAATAGAACTCATTGTGCGAACTAGAGTGAACGGTGCCAATCGTTTATCCGCGATATCCCATCAAGAACAGTAACGACGGTGTAACCAGGACGACTGAACCCGCGGGACTCCGGAGAATTGGAGGCCTGTACCTACAAGACCCGAGCAGGCGATGCAGTGGCTGTATTGGTGAGTGCTCATACTCTTCCTAGTACATTCCTTGCTCTATTTCCTGTCGTATTTAGTGATAAGTGTGACTTAACGTCTATCTGTCCGTATGCTTATATCGCTATAGATTATAACATCACTTTTAAATCAAGTGATTTAGTATAGTACGTTAGTAGGTGTTTTATAAAAAGAAAATGGAGTTCGAAGCCGATTACAAAATGATCTCCGACTTAATGCCGAGATACGACGGCAATCCTAAAAGGCTAAATTTCTATATCCGGGAAGTAGACGGCCTGATATCATTTACACGGCCTAGAGGCGAGGCAGGTGCGCAGGCCATAGTCTGCCTAATTAAGAGCAGGTTAAGTGGCGCGGCTATAGATGCCATAGCGTATGAAGGTTCGGTGAACTCCTGGGACGAAATTAAAGCAGCCTTACGAAGGCGCCTAGGTGAGCCTAGAAATGAAATCCAGGTAATGCAGGAGCTCACACGTACCCGCCGAAATAAATCCGAAGACGCGGAGACGTATGGAAAACGAATCCGTGAATTGTTAGATACCCTATATCTAGTAGGTCAGCATACGGACAAAACGTACTATGAAAAAATGGCAATAGAACACTATGTTCAACAACTTGACTTTCATGTATCAATAGGGGTACGAATTGCAAACCCTAATACTTTAGAACTTGCTATAGTGACAGCACGCCAGGAGGAAGCCAAAGCAAATTACAGGCAGAACCCTAACTTTAATAGCCCTTCCGGCTCACAAAATAAACCGCGACCTGAAATATTTAGACACCAAAATAATAATAATTTTCCACGTGCAATTGATAACAAACCCTTTAATAGTCCGATAAGTTTTATTCCTCAAAGTAATTTTGTTCCCCAACGCAATAATTGGACCCCCGAGCAACGACAACAGTTTGTAAATTCCGTGCTACCATGGAAAAACAGACCTTCCCAAAACACATTTAGGAATTCAGGACACTTTAGAAACAATAACTTCCAAAGGCAGCCGAACATACCTAATCAACAGGTAAACCCGCCGCTAAATGTATCTGATGTCACCATGCGATCAGTTAACAAACCGACGCCGCCGCAGTTTGCTGTCCAGGAATTATTCTACAATGACGGTAATGTGAATCCTCAGTTATATGAGCCCCCACCAGCTGATTACTCCCCTAGTCTAGATGCACACGCCATGTACTACCCGTCCGCGGACCAGGACGAGCAACAGGTAAGTGCACCTCAGGATTTTTGTCAGGACCAGTACCCAGACGACCAGAGTTGATAAAGCTCAACCACCAGGATAAAGACCATCTTCCGTACATAGAGATTCCCGAATTTCAAGGTAAGTTTCTCATTGATACAGGTGCTTCATGTTCAATGATTTCCCCAGAAGTCATACAAAGTAATTCACTCGACTATTGCGTTGATTATGACCCCTTTGAAGTTAAGACCGCTCACGCAGTAACACAACACTCACATGTCGCATACTTACCACTACCACCGGTCTTTAACTGTGACATAACTCACAAGTTTCTCATCTTCGAGTTCGATCCGAAATATAAAGGCCTTATTGGGTTAGACCTATTGAAAACCCTAGGCAGTAATATTGATTTAAAACATAAGTTATTACGCACAGCTTCTGCAGAGATTCCCATTCGATTCGATTATCCTTCAAAGAAGTTTCGAGTTGAACCATTGTGTTCCAAATTAGTACGAATTAAAACCAACTTTCTAGATGGCCAATACGTTCATGCAGACCATACGTGGGCCGAAAGAATAATATCTCCCGCTGCAATCGTAAACGTAATTAATGGTTCATTTGTAACATCAGTCATGAACTTTAACGATGAAAAGAAAACTGTCTCTACCAAAGAGCCAATCAACTTAGAGCCTTATGTAGATCAAATAGAGCCTCACATACAAGCATCAGTAAACTCAATAGACATTACCACGAATATAGATAAAGAGCTCCGAGAAAACTTAAAGAAAGTGAGGACCGAACATATGAACGAAGAAGAGAAACGAGAAATAAATAGATTATGTTTTCAATATAGAGATATCTTTTACTCTGAAAACATTCCACTAACATTCACACACGCAGTTAAACATGAATTAAGGTTGACAGACGACACCCCCATTTTCGTTCGAAGTTATAGGCAGGCTCCGCAACAGCGAGAAGAAATAAAATCCCAAATTGATAACTTACTAAAACAAGGTATTATCCGCGAGAGCGTCTCTCCGTGGTCATGCCCTGTTCACGTGGTCCCTAAGAAACCAGACGCTTCAGGCAAGATGAAATGGCGTCTCGTTATTGACTTCAGAAGACTGAACGACCGTATTATAGAGGACAAATACCCGCTACCTAACATTAATGACATTTTAGACAGATTAGGACGTGCACAATACTTTACTACGCTCGATTTGGCAAGTGGATATCACCAAGTAGAGATGCACCCCCGAGACATAGAAAAAACAGCCTTTTCAACCGAAAGAGGGCACTACGAATTCTTGAGAATGCCCTTTGGGCTCAAAAACGCCCCTAGCACATTTCAGAGGCTAATGGACCATATTTTACGCGGTCTAGAAAATGTGTTCACTTATCTAGATGACGTAATCATCGTCTCCACGTCCTTGCAAGAGCATATCACCAAGCTTAAACAAGTTTTTGACCGTTTTAAGGTCCACAATCTAAAAGTTCAGTTGGATAAATCAGAATTCTTACAGAAACATGTTCAATTCCTAGGCCATGAGTTAACTCGTGATGGCCTGAAACCCAACAAAGATAAAATAAAAGCCGTACTAAATTTCCCGCTTCCCAAGACCCAGAAAGACATAAAAGCCTTCCTTGGCCTCGTAGGCTACTACCGAAAATTCATCAAAGACTTTGCCAAACTTACCAAACCCATGACCGTATGCCTGAAAAAAAACTGTAAAGTCACTCACACCCCTGAATTTTTAAACGCTTTTAATAATTGCAAACAGATACTGACTAACGACCCCATCTTACAGTTTCCCGACTTTGACAAAGAATTTATACTTACCACAGATGCTTCAGACTTTGCTTTAGGAGCAGTACTTTCCCAAGGCAAGCTAGGTTCAGACAAACCCGTGGCATACGCTTCGCGAACTCTCTCTGAAACAGAAACTCGTTACTCAACGATCGAGAAAGAGCTACTAGCGATAGTATGGGCGGTCAAATATTTCCGACCATACCTATACGGTCGTAAATTCACTATCTATACTGACCACCGACCTTTGACTTGGTTAATGTCACTCAAGGACCCAAATTCTAAATTGACAAGATGGCGACTAAAGTTGGCGGAATATGACTATACAATTATTTACAAAAACGGAAAACAGAATACTAACGCCGATGCATTATCAAGAGCTAAGATTTTCCACAATAGTATTGAATCCCTTGCTGTAAATTTTGACGACAACGACGATGACGAAATCATTGACCGAATATTTGACAGTGTTCGTAGAGAAGCTGTAACTCAACCTGAAAACACCAACAGACAAACGCAAAACCCTAACACGGACTCACAGAATCCAATAGAAACTGCACTCACACCTGAAATAGATGCCAATTCAGACAGCATGAGCGTAATGTCGTTAGATCCGAATCAGTTAGTCTCCACCAATCATTCCCAACAAGATAACGAAAACAATGGTATTCCCATCATTGAAGACGCAATTGAACGACAACAAAAACAGTT